AGTGACGTTAGGCACTGGCACCGGGGCCTCGGAAGCGCCGTTGGGACCGGCATGCCATTGTGTTTTCCTGTTTCGGAAGCGGCCGCCAAAGCTGGCAGCTGCAGGCTTCAAAGGCTAGTTTTCTAGTCGGTTCAGAAAGTGACGTTAGGCACTGGCACCGGGGCCTCGGAAGCGCCGTTGGGACCGGCATGCCATGGTGTTTGCCTGTTTCGGAAGCGGCCGCCAAAGCTGGCAGCTGCAGGCTTCAAAGGCTAGTTTTCTAGCAGGCTCGGAAAGCGACGTTAGGCACTGGCACCGGGACCTCGGAAGCGCCGTTGGGACCGGCATGCCATGGCGTTTTCCCGTTTCGGAAGCGGCCGCGAAAGCTGGCAGCTGCAGGCTTCAAAGGCTAGTTTTCTAGTCGGTTCAGAAAGTGACGTTAGGCACTGGCACCGGGGCCTCGGAAGCGCCGTTGGGACCGGCATGCCATGGTGTTTTCCTGTTTCGGAAGCGGCCGCCAAAGCTGGCAGCTGCAGGCTTCAAAGGCTAGTTTTCTAGTCTGTTCAGAAAGTGACGTTAGGCACTGGCACCGGGGCCTCGGAAGCGCCGTTGGGAGCGGCATGCCATGGTGTTTTCCTGTTTCGGAAGCGGCCGCCAAAGCTGGCAGCTGCAGGCTTCAAAGGCTAGTTTTCTAGTCGGTTCAGAAAGAAGCCACAAGAAGAACAAGAAAACGAAGAAGACGAAGAAAAAGAAGATCCGTCCTTCACTTCTAGTCGGTTCAGAAAGTGACGTTTGGCTCTCTGGGCTAGCTTGGAGCTAGTTTCTAGTTGGTTCAGAAAGTGACGTTAGGCACTGGCACCGGGGCCTCGGAAGCGCCGTTGGGACCGGCATGCCATGGTGTTTTCCTGTGGTGTTTTCCTGTTTCGGAAGCGGCCGCCAAAGCTGGCAGCTGCAGGCTTCAAAGGCTAGTTTTCTAGTCGGTTCAGAAAGTGACGTTAGGCACTGGCACCGGGGCCTCGGAAGCGCCGTTGGGAGCGGCATGCCATGGTGCTTTCCTGTTTCGGAAGCGGCCGCCAAAGCAGTCAGCTGCAGGCTCAGAAAGCGACGTTAGGCAGTGGCACCGGGGCTTCGGAAGCGCCGTTGGGACCGGCATGCCATGGTGTTTTCCCGTTTCGGAAGCGGCCGCCAAAGCTGGCAGCTGCAGGCTTCAAAGGCTAGTTTTCTAGTCGGCTCAGAAAGCGACGTTAGGCACTGGCACCGGGGCCTCGGAAGGGGCCGTGGCCATCAACGATCTAAGTGCGACTTTGACTGAGCATCGGCCGCCATCACTGTGGAAGATGTTCACTGCAGGCACACGAAGGGTTCCAAACTCACTCTCTCCCAGGGGTCGGCGGCAGGGGGCGTAGCCCCTTATAAATTAATTACATTAAAAAACATTTTACAAGCAATTATATTTTCACAATGCGCAGTTCAGACTGCACATTTTTTTTTCCTCTCTCTCTTTCTCTATAAACGAACAACAAATAAACATAAATAAAAACACACACAAATATATATATGTATATATATATATAATATTACATTATATATATAATATTATAATATATATATTATAATATATATATATAATATAATATTATATATATATTATAATATTATATATATATATTCTCAGAGAAAGAAAATGCATGCAATCTGCAACCTGACAGCCATGCTTGTCCCGGCCGAGCTCAGAGTAAAGTAATAGATAGTAATAGATATTATATAATAGTATGTAAAGATATATAAAGCATTCAAAAGATATTCGAACGTATTCAAAGGGGAAACGGCAATGACAGATCGATCAAACGCTGGTGATTGAAGCAAGGCACGCGCATAGCGATGGATCCCATGGGGTTGGTCTCGGTCATGCCCCAGCCTCCAGAGATCTCCAGAGCTTAGCAGCTAGTAGTTTTGGCATGTTTTGGCAAGCAAACAGTTCCAATACAAAGAGCTAATGTGACTCCCTTGGAAGCAGCGTGTTCAATTCCAGCAAGTAAAAAAATGCTGGAGCAGTTTCAATGTCACCTACTACACGAACTGGACTAGGGTTCGGGTTCATTGGAACTACATCCAGGGTTTCAGTAAAATACTATTGCTATTTTATGTCAAGCATGAACATGAAGGACATAGTGAAACACTGAAAAATACAAAATATTCACCCCGCTTCGCGTGGGGTGGCCGCCCACACCGCAAGTTTATTTCGGTCCGTGAGAGGGGCTAAGGGTGGTTTTCCCCCGTGGGGGCTCCGCAAGCTAAGAATTTTCACTTTCCCCCCCCGTGAGGCTCCCCAAGCTAGGGAATTTTCACTTTTCCCCCCCGTGGGGGCTCCCCAAGCTAGGGAATTTTCACTTATTCACTTTCACTTTTCCCCCCCGTGGGGGCTTCCCAAGCTAAGGAATTTTCACTTTCCCCCCCCCCGTGGGGGCTCCCCAAGCTAGGGAATTTTCACTTTTCCCCCCTGTGGGGGCTCCCCAAGCTAGGGAATTTTCACTTTTCCCCCCCGTGGGGGCTTCCCAAGCTAGGGAATTTTCACTTTTCCCCGCCGTGACAGCTTCCCAAGCTATGGAATTTTCACTTTTCCCTCCCTTGGAGGCTCTCCAAGCTGCGGAATTTCAAATACCTAGACAACGACGCCTAGATAGTCCCCCAAATCCCGTGTTCTTTGAATGTGTTTTCCATGTTTTTGCAATGGTTTCCTTCAAAGCACGGTACTTTACACTTTTGTCGCCATAAAACTGGTCGAAAACATCATGTTCGACAATGCTTCCAATTCCCTTATCTCCCCAACCGTTGAAAATACCGCTATTTACAGTGTTTTCTGCAATTTTTCCATGTGCCAATGCCGGTAGCCAACTCCAACATATATATAAGAAATCCTTCCAAAACATTGTTTTTGACAGTGTTTTTCCAATGTTTCCAGTCAAACAGACGGTAATTTACACGTTTTTTTGCCATAAAGGCAGTAAATCCTTCCAAAACATTGCTTTTGACAGTGTTTTTGTAATGTTTCCAGTCAAGCATACGGTAAATTTACACGTTTTTTGCTATAACGTCAGTCCAAAACACTTGTTTTTGCAGTGTTTTCAATGCTCTGGCATCCAAAAACCCTGCAAAATCTTGCTATGTACAATGTTTTTTTTTCATTTTTGGCCGTTTTTCCATTGCCGGAAAGCTACCAAAATGACCCAAAATTCTATTTCAATACCCTCTTGCGCTCAGACACCCAAAAATCCTCGAAAAATGTCGAAAACACCACCGTATTCTGGTCTCGGTGCGAAACCGTTTTTGGCCCCCCCCCAGCTAAAGCTGATATAGCGACTGCTATATTAACAAATGTCATTGAGCATTTAGTGTTGCTGTTGCCCCCCAATAAGCACGCCTTCACCGCCAAAGTGGTGTGGGCGGATTTTCATCATATGCATGACCACTACATTATATGATTATATGTATATAAAAATAATTGCATAACATGTAGTGTATGTAATATCTAATATATGTATACGTATACATATAATAATAATTATAGTAATAATAATGATAATAATAATGATAATAATAATGATAATAATATATAATAATAATAATGTGTAAATGAATAGATGTAATATTTCAGCACAGACTTTACAACTGAATGCCAAGTACAATCGTGTATCGTGCCATCCCAAGCCTCTTAATCCCCCCTACTGAAGCGCGCGTAGTATCAAATAAAACATAAAAAACATGACAGCAAAGGCAAGCGATTGTTGAAGCCACCTCACACAAATCGAGATCCCTGGATGACCCATTGCAGTTCGGGAATGTTCCTGTCACAGGATTTGGCCGAAAAAACCTGGAATTTCGTGGGTGCGCTTCCCAGCTTGCACCAATAAACTCAACCGCTATATGATAATATATGCCTCCGTGGTGTCTATCCATGTCTATATAATTATGTCTCTACAGGTCTTTATATATTTTATATACTCTATACCTTCCCAGGTCCAACAGCTATTACCCTCGAGAATCAAAGTGTGTCAGATAATGAGCATCATCACAAAGGTACAAGGAGGCGTCAAGGAGGGTGCCTTGAAGAAACTCCACGTTGAGCCTCAAGACAATAGCAATGATGAATGGTCCTCTGAATCTTGGTATGTGCTTTTGATTCTGCTGTTCTTGTCATTTTCATGCTCGTCTGGTTTCACCACCGAATTCTCTTACTTCCATGTGCTTTGGCTTGAGGCACCCCTACATGGGAAAACAAACAATGGTCACATCCCACATCCCAATGTACCCCCCGATTTCATCGCTCAGGATGGGATAGGATGATGGTTTATGATGTTCTAGGGCAAATTCATGCAAATTCTATGGGCTCCTGTGTGTGCGTGTGTGTGTGTGTGTAAATATATATATATATTATATTTATGGCTACGTATATTCTATATAATACTCTAATAATATCATATGCAATAATTTCTAATATAATGGTTTGCACATGTCGGTAGTCAGTACCATCCGTTCATAATGTTCATCATCTATGTGCCTGTCAGATCTGCACTGTGCTGCACTGTGGCACTGTGTCCCCTCCAAGGCTCTTCTCCAGAAACCATCGCATCAGCTCTGGCTGTGGAGCTGATCCACCACAGGTGAGGCGTTTCAAGGCCAACTGAGGACGTAGAAGATCCACGCCCTCCTCCCTGTGATGCGTCAGCGAAATGATGAGACGATGTGGGATGTGGGATGAAGCTTCTGGACGTGTCGACGCTCTTGAAACTTTGACAAGCTGCTGGATGTAGTTTCTCACACCCTGCCACACTGTAGGCACGCCGGTAGACAAACCCACCTGATTCATGCGCCAGACTCAAGAATTGAGACCTTATGTGAAATATGTGAAACATTGCCCATTGATCCCATTGCGATTCATTTCTTTTTTCGGGGGCTGAGGCACAGCCATCAGGATCAGCTGAACAAGTTGAACGGACTTGCAATGAATGTGGAGTCCGCATTGACATGCAATAACACTATGAATATGTCTCAATACATCTCAATATTCTGGCTGGATCTGGCTGGTAAAATTCAGAGTTGCTGGGTTTGGAAGGTTGATGAGGGTTGATGCACATTGCATTTGCCTGCCAGTCGATCATCATCTTCACCATGGAGGCAGGATCCATGTGCCGTGAGGTGAAGACAGAACGGATGCCTAGCTCCAAAATGCAGCGACATCAACGTTGACCAGTGACCAGCCCATGCCAACCATGGCGGTCCTAGCAACACCTCCACTGGAGTGTGGGAAAATCAGAACTAGTCACAAGTAAAAATGTAAAACGGCGCCCTCGACAAATTGATACAAATTGTATATATTCAAAACTTGTTCGAATAAGATGCTTGACGAGGTCCAAGCACAGGCTTGGGGGCAGAAATTGGCAGAGAAACATTCGTTCTACTTTAGAAGACTGTTGGATTCCAAAATGTGGCGGACGGGACAGCTCAGGGCACCTGGCACTGAGATTACACCTTTTACTTTTACCACTGTTAGTTCCGCGCCTTCAGTCAGATGTCTACCGGCTTGAAACAACACATCCTTGTAGAGCTATCTTGCCACTTGACAACCGACATTAGGTCACCAAGAAGAGGTAGAAAACAAATGAACATCATCACATCACGAGGGACAAGAACACGTATGCCAAGATGCCTGACATCAAGAGTGCAAACGGTGTACCCCAAGAAAGCACGTGAAACATCGGCACAAAGGGCAGCACGACCTGCAATTCTGTAAGCGTGCTGAAATCACACTGGGACCGCGGAGCATGTTGGCTGTGAACACACACGCACACACACACACACCCACGCACACATGACTGGTGATTAGTTGCTGCATCTATATGTCACGACGCCTGGCTAGAATGGCCGTGCGGTTTCAAGCTCTGGCACCTCAAACCCTCTCAAGCATAGCTGATCACCCTGTGACACCACCAACGTGTGCCTCAGCGTCACACAATTTGAATCGAACAAACGCTAAGCCATCTAGACTGAAAACCTAACTCACACCATCGCACGTGTAGGTTCTGAATAGGTCTGTCTTGAACGTTTCCTGCATGCGCAGCACCTACACATCAACACAGCTGGCAAATGCTGCAGCCAAGCTGCAGGTAAGTGGACCGATGGCTGTACGACACACCTTTGGGTTTGCCAGTGGTGCCTTGCAAGGCTTAGGCCGTGGAGGAACTTGTGGCGGTGCAGAATAGTGCATTAATTACATTTGAATGGATTCGAATAGCATGTGATGCAGCACGTGGTTTGTTGCCGGATTGCAATGAAGCGCCCATTGACAATTGATGTGCTTCTTGGCTTGCGGACAGGCAACCAAATGCGTTCCCCTTTCTGCATTTGCGTCTTCCAGCAATAAACTGCAAACTGCAACGCTCTTTTGAAATCGCGCATCAGTGATCACCAATGAGTGACCCCCTCTCAATACATTACAATTACAATATTCAAACAATATCTACCAAAAATTCGCAAACTTCTTTTTCCAACAACTTTGCGCACAAACCCTGCAGGCCTGAGGTATAGCAAAGGCCCATGGTGGTCGTCTCTGGAAAATGTGGCCATCTGAAGTCTTGGTTTCCTGCACTCAGAAACCTTGGTTTGCGCTCATGAGCAAATGCACGAAAGGATAGAAAAGGTGACAGTAAGTCGTTGATTTCTATACATCATTTGTGGCACAAAAATGAACAAAACATAACAAAACATTATTCTGCATATCTGCATGATACAACTGATTTGTCACATCGGAGGGGACCAGCCATGCTTCAACATTCCCAAAAACACGCTTGCCTTGTGCTCCGGCGAAAGCCACCGACACCAGTGTGCCAAATTGAAATCTTACAAGGTATGAGGTAAGTTATTTCTTATGATTTCTTCCTCCTAGCAATGCAGCCGCCGACAGAATTATATATAGAAAAAACATATACATTTGCCAGGTGTGTCCCGGGAAAAAAAACTTGCAGTTACGGTACTTTTGTTCCCTATCATTAGTTTTTTTTTGCAATACCAGTAGTGCCGCACAAGGCGGTGGCGGAAGTTTCACAAATAGGAAACCTATAGGAGAGGTTGGTTGTTGTGAATCAGGGATGGCAGAGCGAATCCACTGATGGACCGAAAGGTGCTTGAGGTCTCCTCTCTTTCTCTCTCTTTCTCTGACTATCTACCTACCTACCAACCTATCTTCTATGTATCTATGTATCTATCGATCTATCTCTCTCTCTTTCATCTAATTACCTATCTATCTCTCTCTCTCTCTCTCTTTCATCTGTCTATCTGTCTATCTGTCTATCTACCTATCTATCTATCTGTCTGTCTGTCTGTCTATCTGTCTACCTGTCTATCTGTGGTGCAGTGTCATTCAGTGTAAGGTAGTGTTGTGTAATGTAGTGAAGTGTAGTGGAATGTCGTGTAGTGTAATGTAGTGTAGTGTAGTGTAATTTTGTGTAGTCGACTGTAGTGGAGTGTAGTGGAGTGTAGTTGTAGTTGTAGCTGTAGTGTAGTTGAGTGTCGTGTAGTGTAATGTAGTGAAGTGTAGTGGAAGGTAGTGTGGTGTAGTGTAATGTAGTGTAGTGCAGTGTAGTGGAGTGTCGTGTAGTGTGATGTAGTGTAGTGTAATTTAGTGTATCGGTGTAATGTAGTGTAGTGTATTTAGTGTATCGGTAGAATGTAGTCAAAAATGGTCCGTACATGGTGTGTTTTGTACATTTTGACTTGGAAATGTGCTTCGCGCCACAACGGCATGCACTTTTTCGACATCTGAACCTCCAAAAATGGTCCGTGCATGGTGTGTTTTGTGCATTTTGACTTCGAAATGTGCTTCGCGCCACAACGGCGTGCACTTTTTCGTCATCTCAACTGCCAAAAGTGGTCCGAGAATGGTGTGTTTTGTACATTTTGACTTCGAAATGTGCTTCGCGCCACAACGGCGCGCACTTTTGCAACATCTCAACTTCCAAAAGTGGTCCGAGAATGGTGTGTTTTGTACATTTTGACTTCGAAATGTGCTTCGCGCCACAACGGCGCGCACTTTTTCGACATCGCAACTTCCAGAAGTGGTCCGAACCCCTGGTGTTTTTAACATTTTGACTTCCAAATGTGCTTCGCGCCACAAAGGCATACAACTTTTCATCTCTCATCTGGCCAGCTGGCTCCGCACCCGCCGCTTTAGCGAGCCTACTTTTCGACCCTCCGGAGCCCCAAATCATTGGAAAAACACAGTGTTTCGCGACTTTCCTACCTTTTCGCGCATCTGCATCTGCTTTCTTCTGACTCTTTCTCTTCTACTCTTCTTTCTTCTGATCTTTCTCTTCTCTCTGCCTCTTCCCTGCTCTGCTTTTCATCTGTCCATATTGTCGGAAGTTTGACTTCGAAACTTCCTTCGATTATATATTTTGTTCTACATTTTCTGTTTCACAAGTTTTCGACACATTTCATGATTTTACCATGGGTTCTCATCAGTTGTTCAACAATTTTGTCATATTTTGTCATGTTGGCATTGTTTTGACCGCGGTTTTTCAACACATTTCATCACTTTACCGTGGGTTTTCATCAGTTTCGTCAACCTATTTCATCATTTGGGCATGGTTTTTCCTGAGTTGTTGAACCATGTTGATCCTATTTGATCATTTTACCATTGGTTTTCATGAGTTTTGTCCACACAATTTTAAAAGGAGCCCTCTATTCTAAAAATGAACTTTTGGGGATGGATCTGGCGGGCCACCTTTTTGATGAATCTATGACCGGCATTTTCTAGATTTTCTGATGTTTTCCCATGAGCAACTTTTCTCGGCAATAGTCGCCCCAAAAGGATGAAAGAGTTTCAAGAAGAGTTTAAAGAATAGTGCCAATCCAGATTTGTTCTTTTCCAAAACAATTTTGGAAAACCAATATGCTGGTTGTCGTCCATGTTCTGCTAGTTTTCCTGGCTGGACACTGCGTGTTGCAGAAGGGGAAAAAACATGGATTTGCAACTTCAACAGCATGAGGCTGTTCTGAAACAAAAAATATTTCAGTTCTTTTCAGAAAACCTTGTGTGTCACAAATGGCAAAATCCATTGGCAAGGCCACTTCAAATGAATTACTCGTGAATTATGTGAATTCGGGAATAGGAAAAAAAATGGGACGGGACACGCATGCACCATTTGCCTGGGAACACTTGGAATAAGCTGCGAATTAGGGAATAGAAAAAAATGGGACACGACACACATGCAGGATTTACCTGTGAAAACAATGTTTGGCGCATTTTGGAACAAGTTGCGAATTAGGGAATTAAGAAAAAGGGTTGCGAGACACACAGGCTCCATGTACCAGTACCTGTGACAGGGCAATGTTTTGCGCAGTTTGGAATACTCTCAGCAGCATGCGCGCAGATGTTTCCACAATAGAGTTTGGACACCAAAAAACGTGAAAAATATCAGAGGGCGAGACAGTAGATGGACAAAATATTCAAACCCTGCAACACACACACACACTTGCTCAGAAACATCTTTGCGAATTCTGATGTGGAATGCATCTTACGTGCAAGAACACCCGAGTTAAACCTGACAGGAGAAATTGGATGACCAGGAGTGAAAGACTGTGCGAGGAAAATCTTTCAATGTCCTTGCTAAAAGAATCAAATTGTTCTGATGCAGCTCAGTCGTCCTCTATAAACAGTGGAAAATCAGATTGCAACAACCGTGCAAACGAGGAAATTGAAAACAAGTGGTTTGAACACGGCATGGTGGTTCTCGGGTTATCCACGTCCCATTGCTGAAGTTTGAAATGACAAAGCAGGTACACCAGGGTGATCAGCCCCGGCTTCCACCATCATGCATAGCTTCGTCGGCATGCGTTTGCATGATGGCCGCATGCCCCCTGCTTGAAATAACGTGAAATAAAGCTGACGAAATCCAGGAAGGTATGCACAAATGCGAAAGTTCCTTTGTTAGAAATCACGTGAAATATAACGTAAGCAAAAAACAAAAACGAAAGCGTGAAGGTAGAAGTTTTACAGTTTTACATCTGTTCAGATGTTCCACACACATACACACACACACACGCGCGCACACACACACAGGACTGGTTTTGAGAATTGAAGCTGGTTCCAACATGGTTGTTCTGTTTGAAGTCCGAGTTGAGGTCGCAAAAGTGCCAAACCACCAGAATTCGAAACTGTGGGAATGGAAGCGCAGTACAGCAGGTACAACCAGGGTGATCAGCCCCGGCTTCCACCATCCTGTTGGCGTCGCAGCAAACGATTGTCGGCACCATTGTGTGTGGTAGAAGGGTTCACACTCACACACACACAAAAACACACACACACACACACACACACAAAAACACACACACACACAAAAACACACACACACACAAAAACACACACACACAAAAACACACACACACAAAAACACACACACACAAAAACACACACACACAAAAACACACACACACAAAAACACACACACACACAAAAACACACACACACACACACACAAAAACACACACACACACAAAAACACACACAAAAACACACACACAAAAACACACACACAAAAACACACACACAAAAACACACACACAAAAACACACACACACACAAACACACACACACAAACACACACACACACACGCCCCAACCAGGGGCTGATTTACCATTTACCCAAATCGTCCATGCAAGATCACACATGTAGAGAAAACCAATATTCAAACACCAGGAACTTTATTTACGTGTGAAAAAGTCAGCTATGATCAGCTATGCAAAATTGACATCTGGTAACCTGGTAGCCACATGGAAACTGTAAAAGTGAAATGAGCTTCGCTATGAATCCACAAATCCCAATGACTTCATTATCCGGCGGCTTGTTGTAAATACGCTGTATCTTGATAAAGGATCAAGTTTCAACGCGCGTGCTCCACAGCAGCATCCACACACACACAATGTTGATCAATGTTGAACCCCTCAATGTTTCAGCGCGCGTGTTAGCAAAAGTGACGTTGAGGGATGTTGAGGGTTTGATTTCTTTCGTCCATTGGGGCTAATGCCCAATCAGGCTACATTAACATTGAACTTTGGGGGCGAGGGGGTTGTTTCGGATAGAAAGGGTTTGAATACGTCCATCTACGGTAGTAGAAACCACCAGAGGTCACCGGCGGAATTCTAGCAAAAAACAGATCCCTAAAAGTTAAGGACAGAAACATCTTTTTGGTTTTCCCTCTGTCGGCAACCGCAGCCCTCCCAGAAACTTGGTGGTGGCTCGGTTAGTTTTTGAATCTGTTGTTATGCTTTTGGGGCACGACGGGGTGGTATTATGTATGTAAGTACAATTAATTATATATATATATTCCACATTATTCTACATGCATGTATTCTTTTTCTTTTGTGCATCTAATGACAGCCCGGCAACTCTTCGTAGTCGATGGCTTTGGATGCATCTAGTCCTTCATCGCGACGCCCAGGAATGCCCATAAGCAGAGTTCAAACTCTTTCAAGTGACCGAGCAAGTTGCTTAGAAAGGCAGCGCAATGACCTATATATGTCACCGTTGTGATTGACTTCTGCCACAAGCCGGTAGATAAGACTTGACAAAACAAGAACAACACAGTGGCCCGTTGAGAGTGGACAAAACTATCTGCTCCACCTTTTGGTAAGTTGTCCGTTTCTGTTTTGAGTCTTCACCTATGCAGGTCTATCAAGGTGACAACACGATGCTTCACGAGACCTTGTGGAAGCTGCCATTGCCCTGGCACACAGTCTTCTCCGACACCTTAGGCAATCGCCAATTGCCACATCATGTGTTGAAGTCAGGGGGCAACTTTTGTTTCGAGTCCTGCATGATCTGCATGCGGCCATGTAATTGCATTTAAACAATACTTCAATTCATAGCAAAACAGTTGGCACTTGTGTCCAAGTCATGATAGGACAATACATATATAATCTGCTGCTTGGCATGTGAAGTTTGACAATATTGTCCTGGAAAACACTCACTTGGATGGTCCTGAATGCGTCCGGGCTGCAAACCAAAAGCTCAACTCTCTGAATGATCGAGGCATCAACTTGGGCAATAAGTTTCAGCATGTCACAGTCTGAGATGATGATGCCTTAGCTCTGTTGGTGCAGCCGTCAGATCTGTCAGTCACAACAGCAGCTAAGTTCTTGCAGAACCTTGAATAACATGAATGAAGAATTCATTTCTTGATCGGCGCCCTCTTGTCGAAACAACCCCTGTTGAACATTGACTGGGATCAGCAAAGGAGAAGGATCAGAAAAAAAAACCGGAGCCAGGGTGCGGTCGTGGGCATGCTCAATGATGTAGCCCAAATCCTCAATTGTGTGACCAACATTGACCAACTGGTTTCCAGACTGTCTTGGTCTGTCCTGTGGCCATGTGAGGTAATTTTGCACAACCTACTGTACAAGTATCGGCTGAAAGCAAACCCATGCGGGACCTGTCTTGTGATAAACTTACACGAACACGAAGCTCCTGCCGTTTGACCCAAGCTTCAATTTTGCGAGGGAAGGTATCAGCGCAAATGACCCGGGTTCAAATATGTCCAAATCATATTTACACAACTAAATATATATGAATGAATGTAATTAAATGTATGTATATTAAATCTAATTAAATGTATGTATATATATAAATGTAAATAATATAATGTAATATAATTTCATTAAATAAAATACAATAAAACATAATATAACATAATATAATAACATAATAAAACATCATATAAACTACAATATACAATTACAAAATATAATTAGAATATAATTACAAAATATAATAGAATATAATATGATCTAATAACACAGAATAAATTATCAAAATGACATACAAATAATTATATAATATACTAAATAAAAAATATAATAAATAACACAATAAATCATGTAATACGATATAATGTACAATATATACTAAGTAATATTCAATATATAATATATAACAAATAACATCGAATATATAATATATAATAAATAACATATAATATATAGCATATAAGATGTAATAAAATCAACATAATATATAATATAATATATAATAGAAAAAATAATGCATAATGAAATATATAGTATATAATATATCTTATAATAATATATAATATATAAAGAAATAAAATATAATATAAAATGAAAAACACAATATAGTCTACAATGCAATATATAATATATAATATAATAGAGTATATAATATGATATAATATGATATAACAAAATATTTTAATATAATATAATATAATATAGTATGATATAATATAATATAGTATAATATAATATATTAAATTATAATAAAATATAATATTATATAATATATAAAAAAATACAATATAATATATAAGATAATACATTAAAAAATATATGATATAAAATATAATATACTATATATAATATATAATGTAAAAAATAATATATAATATAATATAAAATAAAATAAAATAATATAATACAATATATATTATATATAATAAATAATATATAATATAAAAACATATAATATATAATATATAAAATAATATATATATATATATAATATATATAATATATAAAATAATATATATAATATATAATATACAATATATAATATATAATACAATATGATATATAATGTATAACATAAGTAGGTATATAATAATCAATATGTAATATAAAACATAACACATATAATGTATAAAATATAATATGTAATTAATGGTATGTAATGGTACAGTTCCTCCGGTTAGGTACCTGAAATGGTCATTGATCGTAATTGTGGTCGAAACACACGTTCCATTTTTATGGGCTATGTATTGCAAATATCTGCAAGTTCGATTGCAATGCTCCCGGGTTCCATGTCATGTCAACACATGTAACCCATGCGAAGCTCGTAAATGTGCCAAACAGGTCACCAAACTATATCAAAATATAATCTTGGCATAATTCGGCATATCTTGGCTGGACTCCAACAAGGGGATTGGGACATGAAGTGCCAGATTTAAGTCTTCAGCTCAAGGCTCCGCAGGTCCCAAACGAAGATTCAACGTGTGCAGCACTGCTCCCATGCACGGAATAGCATGATAACCTTCGGGGAAGCACTGCTAAATAGAGCAAACAATTGTCAAAGGGGTGACAGGGGGTAACAGCAACTCTTCGACGTCTCGAGGCAAGAGGCATTCCAGATGCCAGGCAGAGTTCCACATCAGAGTTCCAACTCTATCTTCCAGCTTGACTCCTCGTGGCCAAAATGAGTCATGCAAGCTCCAGAAAAATGCAAAGTACTGTGGTACGATTTAATTTTAACCGTGCCAAAGACTGACTCCAGGAATTGAACATACAATGTTATAATAACATATAATTGACATGTGTTGAAATCGTCAAAGAGAGAGCATATGGGCTCCGTCAAATGGGTCCCCCAAAGTCTTGCACCTCAACCCCATGGGCGTTGCCGTTCCTTGTTTCATTATTGCATTGTCCGAATATGTCCGAATTAGCATCTTCAAAATAGGACAGTATTAGCAACCAGTTGATACAATTTGGTTGATACACAATTTCCAAAGTAGGCAGTTCCTCGATTGAAAAGCGCGGACGCCAATTGTCTTGATCTCCGCAGGTGCTCCGAATAGGTCTGCGTGTGGTAGCCTGAGCGAGAGCTGCTGGCACAGTACTCTAAGAGATCTAAGAGTTTGTAGCATCAGTTTGTGTGGCAATCACCCAATGCTGCGAAACATGATTGAACATGATTGAACCATGTTGAAGCGATGAAACTTGAAATGCAAAACTTGAATGACAATCGAAACCTATTGAGCCTGTTGAAGACACGGGACCATTCTTGGTCTTCGTAATGATCAAGTTCTCTGGCTGGAGGTGGCTGCCTTCATTTCAAATGACTCTAGTCAGCGGCGATTGTCTTTTACAATCTTCATACTAAGATGATCTAAGATGGTTTTCAGGCTGCACAGCACAGCAGGCCAATATCTTTTAAAATGTATCATAATGTATCTAGTACCAAGAGCCAAGCTAGGTGAGGCCAAATGCATCAAAATGCATCAAATGAAAGCGCAAAGAATGCATTATGATCCATCATATCTTATGAGATCGTCAGAATTCTTCTACATTTTGAAGTTGCTGGAATATGTTCCTCTGTGCGGTAGTCTTGGCCATGCTGCTCAGACTGGAGTACTTTGGGCTTTGTATGGTGGTTTGCAATGCTGCAGGAAATTTTCCGTGAAGTCTGCCTGCTTCTGCTGCGGAGCCAGCAACTCAATATTTTCAATTCAAACAAACTTTGTGCAGGCAAGAGTCCACGATCCAGCAGTGGGCCTGCTTTGCTCTTGGTATTAAGAGGGGGAACATGTACACACTGTAGATGTCTGCGCGTGTCTATATCTCCATACGGACTCACGTGCGCACATATATATATATATACATATGTATATGTCATGTCATGTAATTAATTCACAGCAATGTAATGTAATGAAATGTAATGTATGTATGTATAAATAAATGTATATAAATATACATACAGTATATATAATTCTATATATATATATATGTACATACACTATATACCTAAATGCGTCTACATAAACGTGGATGTGTCTATTATAGTATATATATATGCAGAATACATATTAATACATATTAATACATATTAATACATTATATACATACATACATAACATAACATAACATAACATAACATAACATACATACATACATACACACATACACACATACATACATACATTACATTACATTACATTACCTTACATTACCTTACATTACCTTACATTACCTTACATTACCTTACATTACCTTACATTACCTTACATTACCTTACATTACCATACATTACCATACATTACCATACATTACCATACATTCCGGGTGGGGGACGGGTGCCCCTCGTTTCCTGGAGCCCCTCCCCCGTCCCTGCGCCCTTCTCCCCAATTACCATACATACTCCTAACTACATACATACATACATACATACTACATACATACATACATACATACATACATACATACATACATACATACATACATACATACATACATACATACATACATACATACATACATACATACATACATACATACATACATACATACATACCATACATACCATACATACCATACATACCATACATACCATACATACCATACATTCCATACATTCCATACATTCCATACATTCCATACATTCCATACATTCCATACATTCCATACATTCCATACATACCATACATACCATACATACCATACATACCATACATACCATACATACCATACATACCATACATACCATACATACCATACATACCATACATACCATACATACCATACATACCATACATACCATACATACCATACATAACATACATACCATACATAACATACATAACATACATAACATACATAACATACATAACATACATAACATACATAACATACATAACATACATAACATACATAACATACATAACATACATAACATACATAACATACATAACATACATAACATACATAAAATACATAACATACATAACATACATAACATACATAACATACATAACATACATAACATACATTGCATACATAACATACATTGCATACATTACATACATTACATACATTACATACATTACATACATTACATACATTACATACATTACATACATTACATACATTACATACATTACATACATTACATACATTACATACATTACATACATTACATACATTACATACATTACATACCTTACATACATTACATACATTACATACATTACATACATTACATACATTACATACATTACATACATTACATACATTACATACATTACATACCTTACATGCATTACATACATTACATACATTACATACATTACATACATTACATACATTACATACATTACATACATTACCTACATTACCTACATTACCTACATTACCTACATTACCTACATTACCTACATTACCTACATTACCTACATTACCTACATTACATACATTACATACATTACATACATTACATACATTACATACATTACATACATTACATACATTACATACATTACAATACATACATTACAATACATACATTGCAATACATACATTACAATACATACATTACAATACATACATTACAATACATACATTACAATACATATTACATACATACATACATACATACATACATACATTACATACATTACATACATTACATACATACATACATACAAACATACATACATACATACATTACATACATTACATACATTACATACAATACATACAATACATACATTCCATACAATACATACATTCCATACATTACATACATTCCATACATTACATACATTCCATACATTACATTTCATTGCATTACATTACATTACATTACATACATTACATACATTACATACATTACATACATTACATACATTACATACATTACATACATTACATACATTACATACATTACATACATTACATACATTCCATACATTCCATACATTCCATACATGACATTCCATACCATTACAGTCCATACCATACATTCCATTACCATTACTTCCATACCATTACATTCCATACCATTACATTCCATACCATTACATTCTCATACCATTACATTCCATACCATTACATTCCATCCATTACAATACTCATTCCAACCTTACTACCATTCCATACCATTTGACATACCATTACATCCATTACATACCATTACATACCCTTACATCCATTACATACCATTACATACCATTACATACCATACATACCATTACCTACCATACCATTACATACCATACCATTACATACCATACATTCAATACCATACCATTCCATACCATATACCAGTACATACCATACCCATTACATACCATACCATACTACCATTACATTCATACCATTACATACATACATACATACATTACATACATTACATACATTACATACATTACATACATTACATACATTACATACATTACATACATTACATACATTACATTTACATACATTACATTTACATTTATTACATACATTACATACATTACATACATTACATACATTACATACATTACATACATTACATACATTACATACATTACATACATTACATACATTACATACATTACATACATTCATACATTACATACATTACATACATTACATACATTACATACATTACATACATTACATACATTACATACATTACATACATTACATACATTACATACATTACATACATTACATACATTACATACATTACATACATTACATACATTACATACATTACAGACATTACATACATTACATACATTACATACATTACATACATTACATACATTACATACATTACATACATTACATACATTACATACATTACATACATTACATACATTACATACATTACATACATTACATAATTACATACATTACATACATTACATACATACATACATACATACATACATACATACATACATACATACATACATACATACATACATACATACATACATACATACATACATACATTACATACAGACATACATACATACATACATACATACATACATACATACATACATACATACACACATACACACATACATACATACATACATACATACATACATACATACATACAGCATACATACATAGATACATAGATACATACATACATACATACATACATACATACATACATACATACATACATACATACACACATACATACATACATACATACATACATACATACATACATACATACATACATACATACATACATACATACATACATACATACATACATACATACATACATACATACATACATACATACATACATACATACATTACATACATACATACATACATACATACATACATAATAACATGCAATACTATAGAATTACCTAGAATTACTATGTATGTATGTATGTATGTATGTATGTATGTATGTATATATATGTACAATTATAAACATATACACATCAGTACACATCTGCAACTATAGATAGCACATCTGTATATAATTGTACATAATTGCACATACACACACACACATACATATATATAAATAAACAACACAATCACGTTGCTCAAGTCCTTTGGTGGTATGTTGAGTCTCTGCCTGCAGGAACTTACGCCAAGTCTTCCTCAAATACATTTGAATATGAAGTCTTTGTATCTCGCGTCTCCGGTGGGTACCCCTTGTCTGCTGCCCCAAAACCGTAAATCTTCAGGTCGCGTTCCAAAACTCGCCAATGTCTATCTGCATCGTCCTCTATCAATTTGATCAGGCCCCATATAGCGAATTAGGCAATACCTGCCCAACACAGCCACACGTCTGGGACCGCACCCAGCAAAAGAGGCTCGAAGTCACGCTTGTTTACGCTCAGCTGGGCCATTGCGGCAAGCTTGCTTTGCTGCGCAGCAAAGCTGTGCCTTGATATATATTGTGTATATATATATATAATTTAATATATTTATATATATATATATTATCAGTTTTTTTTTCAAATGAAATATATTTAGTTTGTGATAGTTTGTGATTTGCTGCCTGCATTGCCAACAGCGGCATAATCTGGCGTTGGTTTTATATGCTTTCATGGTGCTGGTTGTGACGAGGCCCTAACGGCTGCAGCAGATCTGGCAAACCCTCCTGCAAATACAGTCGCTGCGATGAAACTGAAGCATGGGAAAAAAAAGAAAAATATCCCTTTGCCACCACTAATCCCCTACAAGAAAGGCAGGCAAAAAAGAAACATCAAAAAATGCTCATGAATTGTCATGATGTCTCATGCAATTTTCATAAATTGCCCTCGTGCAGGTGCCTCTCCCTGATCACCGCCCTCCAAAGACTGCCCGGCTTGTGGAACTAGACTCATGGAATCCTCAGCAGTTGAAGTTGCAGCTTGAACGACGGAAGAACCTGACGAACCTGAGCCTAAGTTGACTTCCTAAGCTCCGCTTGGTTGCCAGTCCAAGCCACTCCCTTACAGATCTTGAGCGTCGGAAACAAGTGGGAGATTTCTTCCAGCTTGAAGTGTTTGTTTCCAGGCATCTCAAACGTCTCCTTACAGCACATCGAATGAGTCAAATCGATTCGAAGGTGGCGCAGGTGCCGTGTCAATGCATCTGGATGCCAGGATACTGATGAATAGTTCTGAATAGCTGAATAGTTCTTGCGAAACATATCGACAAATGCATGGCTGCACGATGCTACACGGCAACCGAGGGTATGCTGGGTCAATCCGAGGGTCTAAGGTAGACCAGGAACATGACATGAAAGTTTGAAAGCCCTTGTCACTGTCCAGGCCCATACATTTGGCTAAGCCAAGTCGGATTAGCTTCTGCTCAGCCAGGCTAGAAATGCCTGGGCAAATCAGCAATTTGTCAAATCCATTCAAATCCTATCTGCCACATCTGGATCTGTTACGATATGTCACAATGAGCAAATTTGAAAGGCATGCCTGAGACATTTGGTCCTTGCGTATGGACATTGGAGTCATTCTGGTACAGCAGCGGCTAGCAGCGCTTGCCCGAATCAAAAACAGAATGCATTTGGAACATTTTGGAAATATGTAGGGTTTCCATGTATTTCCAATGATTTGCAAGTCGTTTTCAACGAAGGCTTTGCAAGTGTTGCGACCAAGCAACTGCAGGGTCCAAGCTTCATGTGTCCACTTAGCACCAGGTCCACTAAAAGCGGGAGAGCTGGCAGGAGGGTCTGTACATGCCTCAGACGGGAAATCAACTGGCGCTGGGACTGGATTGGGAGTTCTTAAGTGGATGCTGTTTCACTCTGTTTCCACTTTTTCGACTGAGTCTCATGTGGTGTTCATTTGGTCTTTAAATGTCTTTAAGCTCGGCCACCTGCCAGCAATGTTGTGACACATTGAGCTCTAAGAGTCTTCAAATCTCTGAACTGCTCAATTCTAAATCAAGCGGCTCATCCAGCAAAACGAAGGCTTCAACGAAGGGATTGCTGACGTCCTAACTGAGGCGTAGCGACACGCTTACTTTCTCACACAGTACTTCCTAAAATTCCTAAAAGGTCCTAAAAAGGCTTTTGCATGCGCTTAAAATTGATGGGTTGTCTTCATATAGATTCTCGATGACTCTCATGCTGTCACAAGCCAGGTCCCTCATTTGGGCGGACCTGTGCCGAGGTGGTCAAGGACAAAACCTCAGGGTGACGGGATGGCAGGTCTTTGTCCTATTCGATTGGACCTCTGTGATGTGAGATGATCTGAGTATCGATGATTTCAATTTCAAACATCATCCGTGTCTACACGGATTTCATTTGGACTTTTTGAAATGAAGTAATGGTCCTACTGAGATCAACAGCGACAATTTTGCATAGAAAATAGCTAATCTTAATAAATATTGAGCATAAAAAAGAATAACAATAGGAGTTGCCTAATCCCAAACGATCCTATCTGCACATCAGAGTTTGATGCTCATGGCCTCATGTCTCCAGTTCCAGCCTGCAAAGAAGCTGGCAAGGCCGCAAGTGCCAAACGTGGCCGAGAAGTGCGAAGGTGCAGCCGCAAGAGGTCTGGCATCCAAGAGCTCAGAGATTCGAATCAGAACCCATGATGTACAACCCTGAAACCAAAGGGCCCTGACAAAACCGCTGATAAACACTTTCATCATCACAATAACGGCATCGAAGCGAATGAGAAGGGAAGTGGATGCCTCTCCTCCCAACTTTTCGAACGTCGTTTGGTCGACAAAATTATTTTTCTGCCTCACCTAATGTCCAAATTGTGCGGGAAAAAAGCATCAGATCTGTGATTTCAAGCTTGGAACACAGTAATTATTCATATGATTTCATATCTCACTATGCATAATTGGATTGTATCAGGTCAATGCACCAAACCATTAGAACATGTTAGCAACCGGTATTAAATGGTATTAATACTGTAACAATATGTATTAATTACTAATTACAACCTATGGCATCTTGAAAATGGAGCCATAGCCATACATACCCTCATACCTCTGCATTCAAACATCTCATTAAAACATTGCGCCTTTTTGCAAGCAAGGTGTGTTCTCGAGTTTCCGGCGCTGCGCGAGCCTCCAAGTCCAGGCCATGAATTTGCTTCCACAGTGTCCAGGCAAAGCTCATCAAGGTGAAATGAAGGCCATATATCTGGCAGAGCGATTTGGGTATTTTTCCTTGGTCTTTGGATGGCGAAGTCGAAAAATGAAAAGAGAAAACTTCAAGGCCCAGAACAGCGGCATGGAAAGCAGTGTTTCAACTCCTTTTCTTAAACTCCACTGGATGACCATGCCACACATCAAAAAATACAACGATATGCAACGATGCATAACGACACATAGATACAGAAGCCGGGCTGTTTAATGTTGCCTATGATTGCCTATGATTTTCTACTTATGATGGAGGCTCTTTTGAATCGTGAGGCAGTCCAAGGCTCAAGCCCCAAATGCCCAACTTGGAAAGAGCGGGAAACTTTTCCAACTCCTTGGGAGATCTTATGAGTTGAAGTCTGGGAAAAAACACCATAAGGCGACAACCAACGTTGCAGAAATGTCTGCCCAAAAAGCAACAAATGGCTAAGCGATGCTCAGGGTATCTCAACTTCGAAACTTGCACAAGGGCTACAGCTCGGTTGGGACTAATTTTGGATTGACTACATCGATTGATGTTGCCTTGACCACTGTGTATGACAGGCTTCCGAGAAGGTGGTACTATCCAAACAACACTGGAGAAGTTCAAGGCAGCGGAGCTTCGGAAAGCACCTGCACAGAAATGGACACTGACTGTTCCGGATTGTTCCGGTATGTTCCAGTACTGTACTTCACAACAGCGATGCTGTCTCACTGCTCACACATCCCAAAGGCCTGTTGTTGCTAGTGAATGACATGATCTCCTGCACATCGGCTGGGTTTGAGCAAAGCTCGGAGTGGCTGGCTACTCCAATCTACTCCACTATGAGAATCTATGAGATGGGTGAGTCCGCGATGGCAATTCACGTTTGCTGGCATGGCAGCGGCTACTTTCACGAAGCTTTCACTGGTTCAGCACCCAAAGACAATGAAATTGTTCGAAGCGAATTACTGAAGAAACCAAGACAAACACTTAGCAAATAGTACACGCAAAGTCACAGCTCCTCTCCTGGGATTTAAATGAGTGCAGTATCAAACGCTGCAAGTTTGTGAAGCTGGCTAGTTTGAAGCACCTGGCGCAAACAGCTGGCAAGGTTCACTGGGTCAGGCAGCAGGAGCAATGACTAATCCACCACAGCAAAATAGTTTATTTTCTATTTATTTTCTAATGTCATGGGCCTCTGAAGATCGTTGACTCGAAGAAGGCTCTCCCCTGCTTGCTTCCAGAAAGGTGCTACTGCTGTGTTGCCTTAGCAAGATTGAAAATGCTCAAGGATCCAGATGTCAATGTGTGGAGTCTACCGATATTCACCGATTCACCGATCCTGTCCGAGCAGCTGCTGAAGTCTGTATCGTCAAACATCGTCAACTAATTGGTTTCAGTAGACCCACTTCACTAGAGCTCCGTTACGCTTTTCCAGAACCACAGTTGCCGCAGCTGTAGATTTCACCTAGTTTCTATGGTCATGACTCTCGGCCAAGATGTATCACATTGGGAAGGGTCAGGTGCCCAAAGATGTTGTAAACCACATTCAGGTAGCCCAGACCAGCATTGTACCACCCAAGACTTGATCGAGTGCACTCTCTTAGGCACGGCAGTATTCAGCAGGATGCACAACAAGAGCAATTCAATTCACAGCCTAACCACCGGTTTGCCTGGACTTCCAAGTGTTGGACGAATTTGATGGCCCAGTTTTTTTTTTAAAAGAAACAAATCATACATACTATTTAATCGCGAGGAGCTCAATCCTGACATGTCACGCAGTGCCATCTCCTCCACCTGACCTCCATGGTTTGCCGCAAAACTCGACAACCGCTGCTGAAGCTTTTTGGACATATCTCCTGTGTGTCCCTCCTGTCAGTGTCAAGATCAAATCAAATCAAAATGGACAGCCGCCATGGCCAATCCAGGACCTCCACTCACAAGACCTGAGCTGCTCCTCGACGAAGACTGCCCTCTGCCAAAAGGTCTTGACCGATTTTCCAGCAGAATATAGGCAGCGGGATCCACGCATAGCCTGGACGCTGCCACTGCCTGAGCCCAGAAGTCTCAGTTCACACAGCACTGGCCCACTTTATTCCCTGCTTCCTATTGATCACTGCCGTGGGAGCCAAACAATAATACAGCTTCCCACGGGAGTGCAAGCGAGTCACGCCCAAGACTCTCAAAAACATTCACCTCAGCCACTGTACTGATGCCAGCCGCACTCTCACGAGCATTTTTTTAGACACCTTTGGGGTAAGCATCAGACACCCGGCATTTGGTACCAGCTTGCTTACAATTGTGCACACTAAGTTAATGTCAATGTTACAGCCCTGAATCAATAGACTCCTTATCCTTATATATATATTGTATACTGTACATGCAGCAACAAATTTACAACAATACGAGGTTCATTTCGATTGCAAAGTATATCAAAGTCTCACATTTTGAGGGTAGCAAGTAGACCCAACAAACCAGGCAGCCAGGTTTGTATCTCCGGGGTTGAGGGGAGAGCTGTGACGGATGATGCGGGATGCAGGTAAAGGATGGCCAAAGGACGTCAATCTCTTCCAAGTTACCGGCACAGAATCAGTCAATGAGGTCCAGTTCTGTGGCAGGTCTGGCATCGGCTTGAGCTCAAGCTGCTCAGGCGCTTGACCTTCCATGGTGTTATAGGGGTCCAGCGCATGATAACAACTGAATGGATAGAACAGTATAGAAAGCAACACGCAAGGGATGTGACCAAATTCCCTTTTAGCCTTAGGCGCTAGGCCTTAGATCAAGACGAAAGGCGTTCATGAGATGATCATATGATAATGATATGATAATGATGCAAATGAAGATTAAGTAATAAATATTATATAAACATATTAAGTATATCATAACAATATTCACTATATTCACTATATTCACTATCTATCTATTCCGATTGTATACGAATGTATAGGCTTAGGCTCTGCTGACTCTGCTTTGCGAGGATATGATGGGATTGTGGATATCATTGGGTCATTGGATATCTCACCTTGTGGTCTCTGTGCTCTTCGTGGGGGCTCAAAGCGTAGCTTCTCTGGGGTGCAGGCCTTGGTGGATGGCGGAACTCACTGAGGAGCCACCAAACAATAACAAAAGACATACCAAAGACATCAACACATCTGTGTAGCGACATGATGCGACATGTAGCGACTGTATTCTGGACCATTCCATGCCATTCTTGTCGTTCTTTTGATGGCTGTGCGCAAGTTGATCACGGCATGAATACAGACCTTCCAGATGCTCTCCTTTCTGGACGGTGAGTCAGACGGTGATTTCATTCGTGGATAAAATCAAGCCTCAATCCATAACTCATCACTTGGTTTCATTTCAATGCTATATATTATATGAATATAATAGATTTAATAGATAAATGTTGCTGCATGTTGCTGGGTGAAAAAGTCCGAAAAGGGCACGAAGCCCAACGTGAAACATGAATGAACAGAGATATCTGCAGTATTTCATGAATGTTTACAGACACCTCTTTCTGCATGCCAAGGGGCCGCATGGAAGAACTGAAGCATCCCTTCATGTGCCTCAGCTCTCACAACAGATCGAATAATCTATATAACATTATATAACCATATTCAAACAGGCCAAGGAGTCGGACAAACTACCTTGAGGTTGCATCACATATAAGTTGCATACCGACACATGAAAATTAATGCTGTACATTCACCAACGCACACACACGCACAGATACACACACATACATACATAAACAGTTTATATATATATATAGTTATATATATGATTATATTTGGTTTTTATGCACATATATAATATTCACGTGAACCTTAATATGTCTACTGTCTGGTGTCTATGTTTATGATTGTCTATGCATACATATGCATATGTACACACATATGTGTATATATATATATACAATATACGGCTATATACGTATATATTATATGTATAATATATATATATATAATTATATATATAATATCCACATTGTCGTTGACGATATATATATATAATTAATATACAACATGAGCTTCCAGGAATTGCACCAAACAACTGCAACTAACCAATGCCATCCAACATCATCCAGCACGTTGTCAGGATAAACTCACTGGCTGGGGCTAACTGCGAGACAGCCTTTGCAATCTTTGCATCCATGCCACCAGTTCACGCATGATGCTTCGGACGGCGTCTGCTGTAAACTCCTGATAGCTGAAGCTTTTCTTTGGTAACTCGGTAAAATGTTGTCACCAGTCTACGCAGTTTGATCTCCCTGGAGCCACTCACAGAAATTCTGAAAGTGGCTTGACATGGCTTGACTATCTTGACTCTAAATAACAACCGACAACACCGACTAAAACTGACTCTGACCAAACGTGTTCCCTTCTAAGTTATCCAATCCGAATCTAACCATTTTCAACTTGTGGGATTTGTGGGGGCCAAAGGTGCCAGGGCCTACTGCACATTACTGCACTGAGCATCCTCCGCAGCTGCGTGGCCATCAAAGTGGGCGCGGAAAGATTTTGCTGCGTATTCACCTCATGGGCAAAGAACATATATAAGAAAAGGATAGAAAAGGATCAAGGATCCAATAAAGCCCAGGATCTTTCAGAATTGGGACAACTTGAAAGCAAAAGAGCACATTTTAGGAATCTCGGAGCTACCAGTCATTGCATGTCTGGATCTAACCCATTTTGTGCTGTTAGAACCTGTGATGCTGATTGTGCTGAGGTACAATCGTAGGAGGCATCCACCAAACATATCCTTGCAAACACAACAACATTGGAAGAAGTAAAACGTTGTCCTCCTGCCCATCTCCCTTTGCATATTACATTTTCTGCTTCGGACTTGAATTTCAATGAATTTCATCTCTCTCGACAGTTTCCCAGTGCCATTCAAAACTGCACTGCGAGCTCGCCATCACCAATTTGAACATGTATACTTGAGGCCAGGGGGGAGGTAGGAAAGCTAGCAGGACGGTACTGCTGCTGTACCGGAGACCCCAAACCGCGGCCCAGGGGGATTGAACCCCGGCCTGTTAGGGGTCGGGGTATAACATTGTCGAGCTGCGTGCCTATTCCTTCCTAAAGCAAGAGCAACTTCAGCTAGCACAAGCTAGCTTTCGTGACATCCTCGCTCTTACATGCCTTCAATGTATTGTAATTCCAATGTGGTCTTAGTCTTCTCGTTTCATGTCCTGTGTGATCCAAGTATCATCAGCAACTCCAGGACAGGCTCTGGCAAGTTGCCCAGGCATGGCACAGTCATTCCTAATCTAAACTGGGTGTGACCAGCTCCAGTGGAAGTGAGTATCTCTGACGAATGGAAGAGTCAGCCCGAAAGTGTACTTGGCAGGAAATCAGAAGCCAGCAGCATGCGTATTTCGATGTATATAGCTGTTATGATTTATTCTATTCAGTCTAATCCTGGCGAGTGGTTAGATCCTACCCAGAAGAATTGCTGCTTTGTATTGGAAACGTTCCTTTGACGTTTTGATATGACTGCTCAAAGTCCACAATCTCCTGCATGTTGACCTGTCCTAATTCAACGTTTCGATGATAGTGTCTCTGGCTGGATTGATCCCGAGAACCCCTTATGGCTGCAATAATAACTATTACTATTAAATACATTTAAATACATTCCTATGCATCCACCTGGACCATCCTCTTGCATATTTTGGCCTCCATGCTAGTTCCTGGTTCCCTTCTGCGACTCACAATGGTTCTGGATGGAGCCGTCACTGTGCACTTTGGCAACCCCAGGCTAATGCTTGGGCCAAAGTAGCAGAAAAAGATAGAAAAAGGAGGTTGCATGCACCATCATGCACCGTACCTTGCTTTTCCTAGTGCCTCAAGCGCACGTGCTCTCTCTCTGGAGTCTCTCTGGAGTCTCTCTCTCTCTCCCTCTCTCTCTCTCTGCCCTAGTCTTGCATACGACTCCGTCTCACAGGCAAACTAGCACATGACAAGTTATAGATAGGCTATAGGCAAACACCATAAGCCACAGAAACACGCAGAAACAATTCGTCCTTGAGATCTGCCAAGCAAGACAAACACGCTCTGCAAGCTTTCCAAGGGTCAAGCCACGAACAACTGTGAAGGGGTCAAGCAGAGAGGACGCCTGAGAAAGGCGGTCTTCTTCGGTCTTGTTAGTCATCCTCACCTCCTTCCTTTTGAATCTTTTGATACGTACACTTACATTCTAATGAGAACTAATAATATTGATAATCAAAGTCATTAACATGTCATAAATACATATCAATACATATCAGTGCAATTCAATACAATTGAATACATTGAATACATGTTCAATACCGTCTTGTGGAGTGTCAATGCCCAGTTTGCACAAGCCGCTGCCTCTGACAAGCTGGCAATGCTGGGGTCCTGGTGAAAACAGCACAGGACATTGGACCTACTGACCAACACCAAGTGATATTAGCTGCATATCGACTGCAGTCAGACAATGTTCGTGAGAAGCTGCTGGAAATATCTGGAAATTAAAGAAGTAGAGTCCAGACTGCCATTGCCAGCTAGAACCGTGGCTTAAGATAACCAATTTCAGCTAGCCACCAGTGGTCCTGAATCCCTGCTAGATGCTCCGACGTCCTGAATCCATGCTAGACAATGGCATCAGCTCAGTCCTTTGCACATGTTTTCTCTTCATTTTGCTCCGGAGCGCGCTGTATGATGGGAATCCTTCGTTGGACATACATACCATACCATACCATACCACACCACACCGTACATACATAAATGATTACATTACATTACATCACATATATATAATATGTATTATATGTTTTATAATATATGTTACAATATATATATATATTTCAAAATAGCTTCAACCTCCTTCCCGGAAACGACTTTCAGAAAAAAATAAATCCCAGAACAATATTTTCAGCTATTGATCATCCCATGTTGCGACCTGTGCCTATCACCGCTCTACTATGATCTACTATTGCTTTGCCATACTGCCACGGGCATTCTTTCCAGCCACATCAACATCAAGAGCGTGTTCACAATCTGCGTGTCTGTGGCCAACGGAGGGGCTCCCACCAACACAAGCCCAGACATCGTGCTGCGCACAAATTTGCGGCAGGAAAGCGACACAATTGGCTCTGGCAGCTCTTGCCACTCTGTAAAGACAAAGGGCATTTATGACTATGACTAAGTACGATTGTTCCAACACGCAGCCTCATGATACTAGTACCAATATGATCTAGTATGGCTTGTCTGGAAGCCTCTGCAATCATCCCCTGACATCCCTGACCAGCAGCTGCCGCCTACCGTCTTCAATGCAGCTTGCTGAACGGTGCAATTGCAGCGGCAGCCAAAGCACGGGTCGCATTGTGCAGGGAAAACGATCACCATGCAAATCAAAATACCCACCATGCGTCTCTGCGACACCCCTGGGCTGGGAGTGCTATCCAGAACGTGCAAAACATGACCATAGGAGCTTTACATAGCTTTACTGCGTGAGCAACTCCAAAACAACAGCCACATCAAATCTAGACGTGAGAGCCCAGCCTGCGAGCAGATCACACTGATGGGCTTCGAAGCACATGGGAACGAGCGTCAACGCTCAAGGCATTAGCTGCATAAAATGCTTAGGACGGCAGAGAAGGCCATCGTAGGTCCAAATGATCCATCAACTTCTTTCTAAAGCATGACTGGATATGACTGCCACATACCCCTGCCACATACTGCGACAACTATATCATCTGATCACAAGTGGCCTTGTGGGGGATGGCCTTGCCTGCGGTCCTCATTGGACTGCCTAAAGCAGGCCAGTTGTAGGGTTATCGGATTATCTAAGATTCATGATTCATGGAATTGTGAACCTGGAGCATGCCAGCAAGTTGCAACCCAGAGAGGAGAGCCTACAAGCAGCTTGCCATATTTGGGCACACTATGCCCAACTCCCTGTGGTTCAGTAAGGATGTCAACAACACCGAGTGGTTGAGGTTGCAAAATTGCTCGCGCTGTGCCAAGAATTGAAGCATCCAGGCAGCTTTGCAGCTGTGTTAGGACTACAAAGACTGCAAAGCGCTGCGATGGCCTTTGATTACGATTGGCCATTAGTCCAACAAAATGCCATGGATGTTTGGGCGCAAAGCAAATGTCCCTTTCATGGTTCAGCTGCATGTTTTGATGATGCTTGATGTCACTTGATGTCCTAAAATTCAATTGTCAAGACCCGATCACTCTGGCTCCATACTCATGGAGTACGTGAGTGTTGCCGATGACCGATTGCTCGGCCGTCGCTTGCCATCAAAATACCATTCACTTGTGGTCTTTGAGACAGCCTCTGCATTGCTTTCTTCAGACCATTCCTTGGCTCACCATTGCATGCGCTGTCATCCCTGCTCGCATCAAAGCTATTTCCGAACTGGTCCCAACATTGTCAAAGACATCCATCCGTCGTTTCTTGACACCATTCCACTATGAAATTACGTTCTGCATCACCAAACACACAAAGAAACAACTGACATGACATGCGGAAGCAATCAACTCTAAATGATTATCAAGGTCAGGCAGCGGTAACACTGTGCCTCCTGTGGGACTGGTTCGAGATTTCCTGAAATGTTCTCTCTCGCATTCTGACTTACATGGCAACACAGCTGGCAATTCTTTTTTTTGGTACCGTTTCCAGTCCAGAAGAGTCTCTGACAACGGCTGTTGCTTTGATGTCTGATGCCTGCTGTACTTCAAGTATCTTCAAGATTCTTCAAGTAACTATACAGTACTATGCAAACAGTTTCAACAATATTAACAATATGCGACAATGCTTGGCATCTCCCTGACATTAGGCTTTACTGTTCTCTCCTCGAAGCCGCCTTCCTGCGAGAGACCATCGGTGTTGTTGCGGCTGTTTCCACCAATTTGGGCAAATGATGGCAAAACACACATGATTCACATGATGATGTGGGTTCAACAAATAGACTCATAGACTCAATATGACTAAATTTTGGTGTTTTTTTTTTCCCCGAACTTGATGTAGTTTGCCCGGACAAAATTCAACAAACAGCAGCTGGACTGTGAACGTTTCTGTACAAAGAGGCAAACAAACTGTGAACGCATGGAACTTTTGGAGGTAAATGACACACTTGAACACACACAGACAATCACAAACACAAACACATCAAATACACAAACTATTGATGTGTACACATATACAGTATATAATATGTACACCTAGGAATGTGTCTTCTTTCAGGCTGTAATTTCTGACTGCTTCAGAAAAACATCAATAAACTGTATACCTTTTCGGAATTCAGGCAGTCTTTCTTGACTGTCGATGCTTTTCCCCTGCAGGCGGAAGTGTATCTTTTCTTTTTTTTTGAAACATGCTTTTTTAAATGATGCACCCGTTCCAAAAATCAAACAAGAGCATCCAGTATTCAGGATGACGTACCCGGAAAATCCCGGAAATACCATCTGTTCGGGAGGAATACCCGAACTCCCAAACTTAATGGACGAAATCAACTGCGGGCAAAACATAACACCTTGGGCAGCATATCTGTACATATATACATGCATGCATGCATGCACATAATATATATATATATATCATACTAATATAATATTATATATACTATTATATACTAATATATAATTATGATATTATGATGTTTATTTAGATCATATATACGAGCTCCGGTCAAAATCCTCTACATGTGAGTAGTTGCTATTGTTATGGTTATCGCTTTCCAGGGTTTGTGGAAATCAGCATATTCGAGATCCAACATGAAGCCAAAATCCATTCCTAAACAGGCTCGGAAATGGATCGAGGAGTTGTTTTGTTGGTTTCAGGTGCTTCGGCAAGACTTCATGTTCCTTTCATTTTGCATTCATTTTGCATTCATTTGCATGCATGTTCCTTCATTCTACTTTGATTTGCATGCATATTCCTTTTGTTTTGCATTCATTTCCTGTCATTTTCCTTTCGTTCTCCTTTCATGTTCATTTGTAATCATTTGTAGTCATGTCCATTCATTTTCCTTTCATATTCATTCCAATGTGCATTCATGTCCTTTCATCTTCCTTTCATTTGCATGCATTTTCCTTTCATTTTGCATTCATGTCCTTTCATTTCCTTTCCAAAGTTATGGAAATTATGGCTCTATGGCTTGGCCGGGGGACCGAGTGCAACAAATGCTTATCGCCAAGTTATCGCTAAGGTTATCGCTAAATAACCCCTCGAACATATGACATGGTTCGAAGGAAATTTGCCACTAAAACGACAGAGTGAGAGAGAGAGAGAGAAACCGAGAGAGAGAGAGAGAGAGAGAGAGAGGGAGAGAGAGAGAGAGAGAGTGAGAGAGAGCGAGAGAGAGAGAGAGAGAGAAAAAGAAAGAAAGAACGAACGAAAGAAAGAAAGACAAAGAGAGAGAGAGAGAGAGAGCGAGCGAGTTCGATGCCAGATGATATGATTAACTGCAGGAAACAGGGCACCACAGGTTGAATTTCTCTCGTCGGTTTTGCCCGTTCTGTGAATGTGCATAACAGTATTTGCTTGGTTTACGCCAAGTTTAGTGGACTGTCGTGTATGGTCCCAGGTTCTCGCTTTGGGGGGCCCTATCGCTTTACAGTGTTTCGTGGACATCTCTGACAAAAAACTCCTGCATACTAAAGTGGTCTTCAACCATTTTGACCGCGACTCATATGTATGCACATATGTTTCTATTTTTAAGCATGAACATTATTATCTTTGGTTGCGGTACTCACGCACATTGAATTGCACAGATTACGGCAGCTTTATCATTGCAGTCCTCCACTGGCTCCAGTTCGTCTTTGTTTTTCCTTGGGGACACTGTGGATAGGTTTGACAACATAGCAGCATGTTGCTCAAATCCAGATTCTGCCAAACAGAACTGCTTCTCTGGCTAGCTCTATCCCAACACTATCCAACAATGCTTGCATTGCCTTTGCCTTGTCTCCCTCGTGTTTTCTTCGTTGCATTTGTTGATCACTTTTTTTTCATGCCTCGCCGATGCGCATACGTGGCCAAAATTTCTGGTGCCCAGCATCCGACCGATAATCTCCATCTTCCTCAGTAATGTCCACTTCAGAACATGCTCTGAAGATCTCTGAAGATTGAACAAATCTGGCTACAGTACAGTGGATCGCTCCAAGAAATCACACCGCGCGATTGCTCCTTCCAAAGTTTCTACATACATATGCATTGGTATATGTCATTGTTTGGTTGTTTACTTGTTTGTTTGTTGGTTGGTTTCCCTACTCTTTGCAGTGGTTGAATATGTCTGAAGGGGACTACATTCCCGATTTTAGACCATTTCAACATTTTTACGACATCATGCTCTGAGCGAAGCTTCTCTTTGAGTTCCTCCGAGATGGAGCAGGTCCGAACGGCTCTTGATGTGACAGTCGGTTCTTCCTGATAGGACTTTCGGTAGAAACCCGGCTTGATCTGGCTGGGCTTGGCCTGGCAATTGATCAACGGGTTGGAAGGATAAAATAAACTAAGAAAAATAAAACATATTATATCCGCCGACCCCGGCAGACGCAAGGGGGAGCGCGCTAGGGAATAATACATTTGACCCTGGTTTCGGACTAGTACCACTTCTATATTCTATAGGGTAGAACAGCACATAGTCAGTCGCCAGCAGCCAGCGGCAATAGTAGCAGGAGGAAAAAGTAGCTAAAATCCGCCGACCCCGGCCGACAGACCCACCACGTCCAAACCTAAAGGCACTACTCACCACTGACCAACCCCAACCAACCAACCCCAAACCTTGCAGCACAAACCCCGACCAACCAACCCCAACCCACCAACCCCAAACCCAAAAGCACATCCCACCACTGACCCTCTCAACCCACCAACCCCAAACCCTCCAGCACAGACCACGACCGACCAACCCCAACCCACCAACCCCAAACCCAAAAGCAGCTGGGACAACATAGCTTCTTCGATGGACCAACAGAGCCCCAAGACGGGCCAATATAGCGTCACGCTGGGCCTACATAACCTCAAGCCGGCGCAACGACAGCGCCAACGACAACGACAACAACGACAACAACAACGACAACAACAACAACACCAACCCCAACCCACCAACTCCAAACTTTCCAGCACAACCCACGCCCAACCAACCCCAGCCCACCAACCCCAAACCCAAAAGCCCAACCCACCACTGACCATCTCAACCCACCAACCCCAAACCCTCAAGCGCAAACCCACCTTCCAGCACAACCCACGACCAACCAACCCCAACCCACCAACCCCACAGCACCATCCACCACTGACCTACCCCAACCCACCCATTCCCTGCCTGCCAGCACCCACCGCGACCGACCAACCCCAACCCACCAACTCCAAACCCAAAGGCACAAACCTGACCAATCCCAACCCACCAACTCCAAACTTTCCCGCACAACCCACGCCCAACCAACCCCAACCCACCAACCCCAAACCCAAAAGCCCAACCCACCACTGACCATCTCAACCCACCAACCCCAAACCCTCAAGCGCAAACCCACCTTCCACCGGCCACCACCACCACCACCACCGCCACCACCACCAACAACAGCAACAACAACAACAACAACAACAGCAACAGCAACAACAACAACAACAACAACAACCACAACCCCCTGCAAGAACCACTAAACCTAAATCCGCCGCCGCGGCTCCCATGGTTGGGCCCCTGGCCGGCTGTTGCGCGTAAGCGCTTAATTCGGCTCCGCCGGCTCCCCATGAGTGGCTTGCCCTACGAGTGTCCCAGAGCGACTAGAGCTCTATGGTGAGGCGCGCCCCAAGCCGCCGACCCTCCGACGCCGGACCCCGAAAAACACCAAAAATCCTTCAGGAGGGTGGGGGAGAGCTTTTTGGACGGAATCCGGGTCGCTCATAAGCGTCTCCAAGAGCAAAATCCCGCCCCCCCCCCGTTTGGAAGGTACCTAAAATCGGAAAAAAGCACCGTTTTGACACATTTTTCGGACGATTTTTCGCTTTTCGGAAGTCACAAAATGCTGTAAATTACAACATTTTTGCGTTTTAACGTCGTTGGCGGGAGCCATGCGCAAACGCAGAAAATGCTGTAAATACCAGTACTTTTTGGACCCGAGATGCACAAAACACCGCAAATACCAGTGTTTTTGAAAGCCAAGCAAAAAAAACACTGTAAAACACAGCATTTTTGGCGGGTTGATCGCAAAAAATGCTGGTATTTACAATGTTTCTGCAATTTCAAGCAAACGTGGAAGGCACGAAACACTGTAAATAGCGGTGTTTTGGCAACTTTTGGACGCCGAAACACTCGTATTTACGCAGTTTTTTGCTTGTGACGGGGCCACTCCCCTGTAAATTACAGCATTTTTTGCACTTTTTGAACCGATTTTTTGTCTTGCTGCATGCAACAAACGCTGGTATTTACACGTTTTTCAAAAAATCGAAGATCGTGATGTGAACGAAACTCTGTAAATAAGAATGTTTTAGCCACTTTCGGGGACTAAAACTGTTGTATTTACACGGGTTCTTGCCATCTCACAGCGCAAAATGCTGTAAATTACAACACTTTGTGCGCATAGGCATAGGCCAACATAGCCTCAAGATGGGCCAACATAGCCCCAAGCTGGGCCAACATAGCCCCAAGATAGGCCGCCGACCCTCAGCATGTCATGTTCGCAAGTTCAGATGACATCCCCCTCTCTCTTTCCCTCCCCCGACCCCTACCGGCGTCTCCCGTGTGCGAAGCTCTACAATAATTCATATTAATTTAAAAAACATCCTGGGCGTATAACACCACCTGGCTAGCGGTTAGCGGTTAGCGGTTAGCCGTTAGCCGTTAGCGGCCCCAGCATTCTGAAGCCCTCCAAATGTTCCAATTCCAAACTCATCTGTGAGATTCTTGGCGCGCCTTTGGCGGTGGAAGCGGCGGTCCTTTGCGTTTGCCCTTGCCCTTTCCGCCCTTGCATGCTGGCAATGATGACAAAATCATGACTGATAAACATTGACAAGACATGGTAAAACGACAACATTGCAAGTAATATTACAATATCATTGTATCATGATATATCATGAACATGTACTTTCATGGTATTTCATGCAATTACACAGTCAATTACTATGGAAATACTTGGACAACATGGAAAAACTCTCTTGGCATCCCATCATCACAAGATACAAGTATCACAAGCACATGTGCCTTTGCCGACTCTGGCTGAGCTTCTGCTGTCCTGCACATTCGTGATACACGTCGCAATCCCATGGAGTCTGCCCGTCACTATCCCTTCACTCAAGCTCTTGCCAAGCTCTTAGAGCCTCTTGCCAACTTGCTGAAACTGCGCAGCCCACGCTCCAAGATCTCCAAGTCTCCTCGACGCCGGCTCTTCTGCCTGCTGAGTGTGATGTTCCCAAACTGTAGTGAACAACCAAAACCGAGACTATCGGACACCCCATATCCAGTCTCGATTCAAAAGGACACAGAAGAGGCAGAATGAAATTGGTTCCAGTGGCTACCCAACACAGGTCACTACCGGCTACCCTTACACTAACGAGAACGACAGCGACAATCACAGCTACGACAGCAACCGCAACCACAAAAACAATGTCAGCAAAAGAAAAAACAACAACATGACACAACAGCAGAGAGGGCAAGAACCAAGACGGAGGAAGAATGCGGACCCGATTGAATGTAGCTACAAAATGCAACAAAATGCTAGAAGATGCTACAAGGATCGGAAGCAATTCTATTCCAAGGGACAGCATGCAAGAATGCGCTACAGTCCAGTTCTGGCGCCTTGACAGGGGGGAGGATCTCCTCCGGTGGTGTCACCGTACCCGTAGACTCATCCTCCTGATCCAAAATTGAAATATTACAAGTGCAAGACCCACTGGCATAAGCTTCCAAGTCAAATCCAAACTGTTGAGGGGGATAGTTGAAGGCTCTCTCGAGCAAAAGGATGCCTGTGGAAGAAAGCCTGACTATCGAACGCTTGAAATCTTTCAATGAGCATTAGATGCTCTAGCGTACTTCATGCTGGATCATACGGGTCAAATGAGAAATCATCAGAAATTACAATACCATAGCTGCCATAGCTGCCATAGCTTGCCTGGTCCCTGTTCTTGGCATCAGCTGCCTCCAACAATGGGCCCTGGACACAAGGGGGCCAAGTGAAAGGCACAGTTTTGGGATCAAGAATAGATGAAGGATTCAAAGGATGTAAAGTGATAAAGAACAGAACCGCACAACATGTTTGAGATCTTTGCATCTCTCACAGTGCTTCGCGCAAACACTGACTGCCGGTGATTGTGATCTGGAACCTCCCATGGCTGTCCGCTGACTCATGCTCAGAAGTGGAGATCAATCCACCCAAGAAATCCAGAAAACATCTCTCTCAGGATCTCTCAGGATCCCTGAGGTATTCTTAGGTGGCCTCCGGCTCCTCTGGCGAAGCTTCCACCACTTCTGCGGTCCTATGCGTCAGCATCATCAGCTGCTCATGAGGTCAGGCGGTTCCTATCTTCGTCCTGATTTTTTTACCCAAGGTGTTGAATTGTGCTGGATGTTCAAATCACATCGATAAATATCGATAACATCTTGTATCCAACCAGTTCAGATAAGTGCTGCATAGTGCGACAGGATAGATACAACTTGAGAGCATTGAGGAGAACTGAAAAGTCTATAGCGTTTGAGATGCCTAGGCTCCTAGACTAGTTGACCAGTTGCTGAAACTATGCAGCCCACGCTCCAAGTCTCCTCGACGCCCGCTCATCTGCCTGCTGAGTGTGATGTTCCCAAACTGTAGTGAACAACCAAACCAGACACTATCCAACACCCCATCTCAGTCTCGGTTCAAAACGACACAGCAAAGGCAAATGAAATTGGTTCCAGCGGCTACCCAACACAGGTCACTACCGACAACAACAACAACAACAACAACAACAGCAGCAACAGCAACAACAGCAACAACAGCAACAACAGCGACAACTGCGACAACAACGAAAAAATAAGACATATTTAAAACACATCCTGGGCGTATAACACCACCTGGCTAGCGGTTAGCGGTTAGCGGTTAGCCGTTAGCCGTTAGCGGCCCCAGCATTCTGAAGCCCTCCAAATGTTCCAATTCCAAACTCATCTGTGAGATTCTTGGCGCGCCTTTGGCGGTGGAAGCGGCGGTCCTTTGCGTTTGCCCTTGCCCTTTCCGCCCTTGCATGCTGGCAATGATGACAAAATCATGACTGATAAACATTGACAAGACATGGTAAAACGACAACATTGCAAGTAATATTACAATATCATTGTATCATGATATATCATGAACATGTACTTTCATGGTATTTCATGTAATTACACAGTCAATTACTATGAAAATACTTGGACAACATGGAAAAACTCTCTTGGCATCCCATCATCACAAGATACAAGTATCACAAGCACATGTGCCTTTGCCGACTCTGGCTGAGCTTCTGCTGTCCTGCACATTCGTGATACACGTCGCAATCCCATGGAGTCTGCCCGTCACTATCCCTTCACTCAAGCTCTTGCCAAGCTCTTAGAGCCTCTTGCCAACTTGCTGAAACTGCGCAGC